AAGAAGAACAAGGCAGGGCTGTACATTTATATTGAATAAACGAGAGAAGGAGTAACTTCTATCTCTCTCTTCTCTCTCTTTTTCTCGACTTGCTTTTGTTGAGTTGAATTAAGGGAGATATTAAATATAGCAGATGGATGCAGGTCTCGTATGCATAAAAAGGAAAGAGACTGATTGAAAAGAAAAAGAAAACCAACACTCGCGTTCTGAATAAATAAATGTCAGCCCGGTTAATAGTGAGAAAAATAGTGAAAAAATTGCCCAAATCTGGTTTCAGCTGAGTTGAGACCTGAGCTGGGTTAAATGAGCTGAGCTATATGACAAACTTTATATCACGCTGAACGATTTCTTCCGTAAACTGAACCTGCTCCGTTTGGAACCAGCTTTTTTTATCGGCTCTCCCTGGCGGTCATCATTGTGGTTGTTACTGTTGCTGCTGTTGTTATTGCTGCTATTGTGGAGTTCTTCGGATTGCCGTACTTTCGTGTGGTTACTGAGAGCGTTCAGGTGGTCTAGTCGGGTTTGTAGGGCCGTGGGGTTTTCAAATTTGGCTGGGGTGGTGACTTCGGTAGATGTGGAATACACTTCTTTCAGAGGCCAATTGTTGGGGGGATAAACGTCTGCAGCATGGGATGCAATGACGGGATCCAGGGTTGATACTGGCATAGGAGCGGGGGAGGGGGGAGGAGTAGAAGATGAAATAGTGGGTATCGGCGGCATTTCTAGCGAGGATTTAGAAGCCTTTCCTTTATCCTTCGAAAATCTACCATGGCTCAAACTCCTACTGCCCAGCTTGAACCGTCCTAGGCCTCCAGTGAACGCTGCAGACACACCATTTTCCTTCGCATTACGAATAGCTGTGCCATTGCGACGAACCTCCTCAGCCTGGGAAGCCTTACTGGCATCCAATGCAGCTTTGAGTTCGGCATCTTGTCGTTTAGCCTCCTTTAATCGAGCTTCTGTATCCTTTCGTTTCTGCTTCTCGGCTTTCTCATTCTCTGCACCTTTTCGCACCTTCTCCGCCTTTCCCTTTCCCTTCTTTTCCTTCTCCTTCTCCTTCTCCTTAGCTTTCCGCTCCTTCTCCTCCTTTAATCGCTCTTTTATCGAAAGAACATCGCTCTTTTTAGAATTAAGGGGTGAGGGGGGCGTCGTGGGTGTCACTGGAACTACATTCTCAGGATGCGTGGAAGGTTGAGGTGCCGTGGGGGCCCGCTTTAGAGGTGATATTGGTTGACGCTCTGTGGCCGGGATGACCGTATGTACACGATTGATTTCATTGGAACTAGCCGCAGACCCGTTCATTTTGTGATATGAGCTAGATACCAAATCCTTGGTGTCAACAGATGCTCGACCTGAAGTAGTCATGCCTTCGTTTTCCTGCTCTCTTTGCATCGCTTCAAAGGTCGTTTCCTGATAGAAGAGCACGTATGCGCAAGCCAAACCTGGCCGGTCTCCAAAAAAGTTGCGGACGTAATTCTTATCGACTGGTTCCACCATCTCGTCGTCGAAAAGCAGCCAGCCCATATTTTCCGTTTTAATGATAGCAACATAGTGGCCGTGATAGGGTCCACCACCGATATGGACGACCACTGCATAAAGTTCGTAGAGGCGATCGGGATCTTCTGCGTCATCTGTTGTGTTAAATAATCGAAGAAAGTAGGGATACACCACTCTATGGAACAGCTTTTGGAGTCGTTGCAAGTCCTCAGTGTACTTGAAGCGTTTCAAGTGCAGTGCTAATATCCGCGGCAGCCGTTTAATCTTCATCCGTTTCTCAGCTTCCTGAAGCCCTCCGCAATTATCGCAATGAAACTTATTACGCTCACAGAGCATCTCCTCTTCTGAAAACTTTCGCAAACAGGACGTTACTGACGAATGCTGATCAAGATCGACAGATAGATCCAGAAAGACTTCATCTCGCTGTGATACCTTTTCGCATGTGAGGCATTGGGTTTCGGAGGTCAGCGTCCCTTCAAATAGCTCATGTACCCAGCGTGTAGTGTTGGGCGACTTGGAAGCATTCGAAGCTGTTAGAGTCGTTGCTACAGATCCTGTGGTTGTGGCATGCTCCGATGCCTCCCCACTTTCCGACTGCTGATCCACCTCTGGTGGTGAACAACGTTTGGCTTCAGCTTCAACATTAGCTACCACTTCGTTTAGCAGTAGATTAAGGAATTCATGAGCGTCTTGATGCATGGCGGTTCTGAACATCTCATGTTCTCGTCGAAGCACTTCCAGGAAACTGTAAGGCCGGATGACACCTATCCTCTCTTGGGTTGCAACGACGGCCTCAAAAATGTCCTTCAGGGAGGTAAATAGAGATTCTTGCATGCCATAACTTGTAGCATTATTCCTTGTTTCCAGGATTGGAAGTGTGTTCATTGCGACCTTTTTCTTGTATTCCGGCGATTCCTTATCCTCTGGCCGTTGTGGCTGCGTTGGGGTAGTTATACCTGACTTGAGGGCAGGGTTACCGGAAGTCTTTTGTTTAGCCTGATATGCATCCTCTGTTTGTGCATTTGTGTCTGGATAATGTAAATTCTTCGCGAGGGAGTCGTTGAGAGTTTCTATTGGGGAACGTCTAGGGTAGTTGATGACGGATTCTCGAAAGGGGACTGAGTAGTAAAGACATTGAAGAATCGAATTACAGTAGCTAACATTGTCAGCCGTGGAACGGAGAAATTGCATCTCTATCCTTAACCAGGGTATGGAGCTCACCAGGTATTTCCATATTGAGCCTAAGGAAGATTGAAATAAATATTAGTCCATCCTGCCTTTCCCAACTGCTAAAGCACGACGAGGACTCCATGACAACTCACGTTTTCCATTCCGAAAAATTTGTCACTGCCGTCATTCCGCAACGGGCCGGCATCTTGAAGCATCTTCTCAAGCGGCGTCAAAGGTGTGGGAGGGATCTCTTTCTCCTTTTTGGCGGGTGAAGATGCGGAGTTTTGCGGGCCAGATCCCTAGAGTATCATAGACAATCGTGCGGGTTAGATATGCCGAAGGAGGAACAGAGATATCAGGGGAGAGCCGCCTACCGCATTGCCTCGTAACTTGCCAAAGAAGGGTGCCATAATTGGAAGTGTATATGGGACAGCAACAACTGTAACAATTCAACCCAAGGCGTCGCTCACGGCCGCCGCAGTGCGGCAGACCTCGTCCCGTCTTATCCTCAAGAGAGCAGTATATGGCAGATTTGCATCAAACGTGGTTGTAAGAGGGTATGGGTCATGGGTCCTGATTGAAAGGAATGCAGAGAAACAGAGCCACGGGAGGTAGCTCGGGCGGAGAGGCCTAGAGGCGACAAAAATGGAATAGTGTGATAGGTAGAACAACGATCTAGGGTTGCGAGAGAAAACCAGGGCCAATTCGCCAGAGAAAGAGTCGGAATACGTTCGGATTCAGCGGTTCAGTGGAGGAGGTGGTTGGGGTGGGATTCTGACGTGCAAACACCAAGGGCAAGTTAGCGTCAGAATGAGATCAGTGAAGGGAATCGGGTGATGGAAAATATGCTGACAGCCAAGAAAGGAACTACAAGAGGCGGATTTGAACAGGAGGAACAATGACTTAACACATGAATGAAGGGCGGGTAAAAGACATACGGTGGTGGGTTGAAAGGAACCGAGACTATGTCAGGAGGATGTAAGAAGAAGTGTTGGAGTTGAGCGCTGCAGGTGAAGAAGAAAAACCGCCTAGCGACGCTGCAGGTTTCTGGTCGGGCGGATTTGTATGGGGAGGTACATCTACTTTTGTTGGGGAGGGGAGGAGGGGGGGCAGTTTGTGGTTGGGTAGAGCCCTGGACAAACGGCGTGTGAGACCAAGCAGCAAGAGGAGTAAGTTAAAGCATCTCGAGGGGTAGTTATACACACTAACATAGATATTAAGTTATATTTCTCATTGACTCGTCAATTCTCCAAGACAAAAGTTATATATGTCAACTTGGTCATTCAGGGCTCATTCTCGGACAGGCATCTGGTTGGTTTCCCGCAATACTACATCTGTCATGCCCTGCAGCGTGGTAAACGGCTAACTAACTAATTAACAACCAATAAATCCATGTTTAATCCATACGGCATCCCTGGATTGGTCTCTGGCAATTAATCCCATCGCCTTAATCTATCTGCTCGTATATGTCAGTAGGCTGCGAATGTACACAATGCCTCCCGACTCCTCCAGTTAATATCCCTCCAGATACATAGATATATGCGCCGGCTTCAATCACATTCAAAGCCAGGATATCAATCAAGCTTTGTGCAGTCCTCGGATGAACGGTTTTGAACGGTTTTGAACGGTTTTGGCGGTTATGGCGTGTTTGATGGTGAGCAGCCGAGAAAACCATTTTTTACCAAAGACAGTTCCACCGCTTCATCCACGAGGTCTTAGCTGTAACCCTTGGCTAGCTTCCAGATGATTTCCAAGCATTCTGCGGGGCCCAGCAGGCGACCGCATACATAGAGATAGAAGAACACAGAAGATTCAACACAGAGAACTGCTTGAGTTTGTTCCTGTTAAAGGATACAAAACCGTTGAGATATAGAGTTGGAGAAAGGAACAGTGATAGACTCCAATAAGGCTGACCTATGGCTGTCTTTTATCCAAGTTTATCGAACTATCTGATGATCCTGGCAGGCAGTGGAGGCTTGAATGGCAAAAAGCAAAGACAAAAGGTTTTGTGGCTGTCGCCCAGATCCTGGTTTTTTCCGGATTTCTATATTATTGCTTCGGAATATTCCTTAACAGATTATTCTCAATAATAGTTAATTGGTTGTGTTCTCTCTCTTTCTCTTTCTTCTTCTTGCTACAACCCCCCAAAATAAAAAGAAAAGAGAAGAAAAAAAGAGAAAAAAAAAAAATTGAAAACGCGGTTTCGCGATCAAGTTCACTCCTGGGTCACGACTTGCTCTTCAACCAGACTCGAGTTAAAAAGACCAGAACTAAAATAAATAAACAATCTAAAACCAGAACTAATCTAAGCCACCGCTTTGACTGCAGACAAGTCAGTGGTTCCACTGGCCACGATGTAGGTCATGTCGCTTCCCAGGGTCTAATGATCCTTGCCGCATGCGTTGCAGGTTGCATCGTAAACGCATGAGGTTACGACCTAGGTTCTAACTGGTAGGAGAATAGTCTTCTAGGTACGACCTGAGAGTATCTAGTAACGAGGTATCCTTCTCAAAATACTGCACCAAACTTCCACTTTTGATCTGAGGGCGTTGATACCGCATCGTGAGCCCGAGCCCTATCATTTCCAGCCTGATAACCCAAGGAAGTGAGTTCTCGAAATAGTCCAGAATGGAGGAATTGTAACACCAGAAGGCGAGGGTGAGCCTGTCCAACTGAAGTATGGTACTGTTCAACAGTGATACAGAACCCAGACGAAAAAGGTGCGCTTTCTGTCTGTTTCCCCAACCTGCCTTCCTGGCGCATATATGTCAGTTTGCGCGGAGAAGAGCTATATGTGGATAGGGGATGCTGTCCCTGGACACCGGAGTACTAATCGTGCCGCTGCGCAACCCACACCTCTTGTGGGTGCACCACACCAAAATGATAAAAACACCAAAATGATAAAAATCTTGCAATTTTATCATCTTCATCATCTTCATCAATTAATAACTCACCACAATGTCAAATAAGGACAAAAATATTGAAGACTGTATTCAAAAAGCTGTCACTTATTACTGAAAAAACTCAAATTTCAAAATACTATCTCTGTTATAAGAATTTGAGGTTCCTTATCAATGTCTCCAAGTACATATTAATGAAAGGAATCTGAATACTGCAAAGATTCCAGTTAACAAGAGATTAAATGAGAGTCAGAAGAATATAATTAAATGATGAGTCAAGCTGCTTGATGAAAAGAATTGTTCTCTTACAGCTGAACATATTAAAAATTTCATGAATTCAATACTTAGACATCAACATATAGATTCTACTATCTTTTCTTCAAAAGTTAGCAAGATATGAATTTATAGATTCATTGAATGCCTATCTAAGTATAAGAGAGTGAAACAGAAGCTGATGAATTCAAAGACAGTGACAGTTGAAAATATTAAGTATATCAATACATAGTTTAAATATCTTTAGATTCTATTCAAGTAATATTAATTTCATATCTATGATACATACAACTTCAATGAGATTAAATTTCAAGAAGAACAAGGACATAGAGAATGAGTTATAACTATTTTTAAAGAAGTTATTTTCATTATTTTTTTTATTTTTTTCAAGAGATTTGATTACAGTCATTGAATGTATATTTATAAATAACTATATCATTTCATCATTGATAATCTTGATCTTTAAAACATATTTAAAGAATTGATATACATAGATAAATTTATTTAGCAATTATAAAATTGTTATATCAAATACTGAATTCATAAATGATGAGATTGAATTTAAATAATTTAAATATTTCAATACTATTATAAAAAAAAGACAGAAGAGAAGTCATTAATTACTTTAAATAAATAATTATGAATTTCATATCACTGAGAAGTTTATATAATATATAGATTTTTATAAGATAATTCTATATAAATTTTCATCATATATTACTCATTTACTACAATCTTTGAATAGTCTATCATTTCAACAATATTAGTATTATCATTCAAAAGCAGTCAACTATGCTACATATTATGATCTTGTTAAATATGAAAAATAGTAGTTTTTATAATATCTTTCAGTTATATAAAAGCAGATCTTAAATTTAATATAATAGCTGCAGAATAAGCTCAATGTAATATATATTCATAAAATTCTGACTAAGTTCTTGATATTCTTAAGTAGTAAATCACATCATCTCCTCTACTGCAGATTTATAAAGATGATAATAATTCAGATCACATATTTATTTCTTCTTCTCAACTATTTTTATCAAAGACAATTCAAAAGCTGAAATATTATATTAATATTGTAAAAAATATTATATAAAGTATTAGAGATACTCTTGAATTGAAATCACTTATCTTGACATGTTGTTTGAACAAGATATTTAAAGCAAGTCTAACTTATACAGAACTTAATAAGTAATAAATCACTGAATTAGAGAACTTTCTCAATGTCAGTAAATACTGCAAATCTAAAACAATTCATCATCAGATTCAAGTAAAGAAAATTCTCACTATTAAAGATGTCAATAAAAAAATCAAGCAATGTAAGAATAATGAAGTTGAAAAAAAGCAGAATATGAAGTAATAAAGATTTTGAAGTCAATCTTATAAAAATTGATAATAACATACTTATATCACTAACAGAAGAGAAATTAAATTGATTTATAAATTGATTGATAGATGACATACATACTGAGAATGATGTAGATAATCTTTTTATTATAGATTAGCTACTGATTGTTGATATAGAGTGCAATAATGAGGATGTGATTTAAGATTTTTATTGTTTCAATGTTTTTATCATTTTGGTGTGGTGCACCCACATGAGGTGTGGGTTGCGCAGCAGCACGATTATAGCTCTCCACAGCTATAGTAGCCCAAAAGTGGATATTGATGGTAATATCATCCATATACTACGCATGGAATTTTTAGGTGGAACTCCATGAAGTGGGCTTGAACTTGCAAAGGGACTCCACCTGACAACTTCCCATTCCATGGTTGCTTTATGCGGCGGAGCAGTGCAGTGGTTGCCTTGTTATTAGTGGTAGTATTATCTGTCGTTTGGATAGTGGACATGGCAGCCGTAGCCGGTCGGAGAATTTAATAGTTATCGCTCAAGTTCCAGAAACGAAGAGATATCAATAATCTGATATCTGACACCTATTTAGCCCCGTCTGGCTCAGCCTGGGTTTCCCCTCTCTCCCACACCCCCACCCTAAGGCTCCAAGTGATTTCCAGAACAGCCTAGCTTCTGGCTTCTGGGCTTATCAACTTTTCCGGTAGGTAGGAACGCCTAAACCTTGATTTTATATAATAATTCCGTTGAATGCCTAGTAGTTGTAAATATCAAAATCAAAACTGTGTAGTTTTCGGGGTAAAAAATACAACGACAACCCTACGGGTCATAGCAGGACACAGACATGGGCCGCGATGTATTTGTACAATCTTCACCAGGCCGGTCTCAAATAGAGCATTTGTTTGTTCGTTAGCATTTGGTTCATGTTTTGAAGAAAAACTACTTTGAAGTATGAGATATGTTGGGGGTTCGAACTTGCTGTATAAGTCCTGAGGTATGAAATTGTACATAGCTGCCTCCATGAGCTTGGTTGAAAAGGAAATAATCAACCCTCATTTAACCCCAAGCTGAAAATCGCTCGCCAGATCCTCCTATCTAATTCACAACGTTTGCGGGAAAATTTCGACACAGTAAGCCTCGAGACGGCAATTCAGGCCCCACAAAGAAGTGCGACACAATCGGCAGCTGAAGACGTACCGATCTCCTTCTGGCACGACACGGGCCCACGCAAACATACCATCCTCATCAATAGATTGTCTCCTTGTTATTAGGCCTTTGCTCAGGTACTGCTTTATTCAACCGCAGCATGACGACCCTTTGCTGACCAGTTGACTTGGTTGAAGAATTTTTGAATTTGCACCCGGAGCTGGGAATGGGAATGGGAATGGGATCTCTGATCCAGCCATCCCCGGATACACCCTCCATGTTGATTGCGTATTGTCTTTGATTTGCTACTTCGTAGAAATACAAAAGTCCTATGATAAAATAATAGGTTTATGATACCGGTCACGCCCAATGTTGGTAGTTTACCTAAATTAGTTCTCTAGTTTCGAGGAAGCTACTCATCAAATAACATCCCTAGTGGTGTAGTGGCTAACATCGCTGTCTTTCACACAGCAGCCCGGGGTTCGATTCCCCGCTAGGGAGTTGCAATGCAATCTTATAGCTCTTCTTTTTCTGGTTCATTTCATTTCGCAGATTAATCAAATTGGGGTGGGCCCCGTTTTTCTTTATTCCTTTCTTCTCTGCATCTTTTTTCAATCTTTGATCTGCGGGAGTTGGTCGAACGAAGGACTTGTGTCTTGATGAGTCATCATCCTGGCTGCGATCGGATTATCTTTATTCCACACATTGTTCCTGAACGGCGAAAAGCAAAATTAAAAAGGATATCTCCGGCGACGACGGAGATAGGCTTCTATTCCCCTAATATTACTTTTAAAATTTTGTTTCCAATTGCAACTGTCTTGCATGAGGGCGAACAGAGCTACGGGTCCTCTGCGCACTGGTAGATTCGCACTCTCATACCCTCTGCGAAGTTGCAATCCTACCCGCTGCCCGGCCCGCACCTCTCCTTGCTCAACTCGCATTTTCTTTTCTCTAAACCCCGCCATCTCACCAAGCTTTCCGCTTCATGACCGCCGTCTCTACCACGGTAATAATATTGATTCCATAGTAACCATGGGCAAGGAGAAAGTATCTTTTAATCTCAAAACGCCCAAGGGCACCAAGGACTGGTTTGGCGCTGACGGCCTCCTCCGCGACCGCATCTTCAACTCCATCACCGAAGTTTTCAAACGCCACGGCGCAACCTCCCTAGATACCCCCGTCTTCGAGCTGCGAGAAATCCTCGCGGGCAAATATGGCGAGGATTCAAAGCTCATATACGACCTGCAGGATCAGGGAGGAGAGCTCTGCTCGCTCCGCTACGACCTCACCGTCCCCTTCGCCAGATGGCTCGCCATGAACCCCAATATCCGGAGTATAAAACGTTACCATATCGCCAAGGTATACCGGCGTGACCAGCCGGCCATGTCCAAGGGCCGCATGCGCGAGTTTTATCAGTGCGATATCGACATTGCTGGGGCAAATTATGATCCAATGGTCCCTGATGCGGAGATACTGAGGATTGCAACGGAAGTATTTGAGGGGTTGGGATGGAAGGGAAGTTATACTATCAAAGTGAACCATCGCAAAATCCTTGATGGGCTCTTTGAGGTGTGCGGTGTCCCTAAGGAAAAGATACGGACTATCTCGAGTGCTGTCGATAAGCTTGACAAGCTGCCGTGGGTGGATGTTCGGAAGGAGATGGTTGAAGAGAAAGGACTTGATGGTGCTGTTGCGGATAAAATAGAAACGTATGTGGTCAGAAAAGGAGGGCGTGAACTCCTCCAGTCGCTACAGACAGATGAGGCTTTGGTTGCCAATCCGTCTGCCAAAGCCGGCCTGGAGGAGATGGGACATCTGATAGACTATCTCGAAGCATTCGATATCTTGGATAAAATATCCTTTGATATGAGCCTAGCTCGTGGTTTGGATTATTATACAGGCGTCATTTACGAAGTCGTCACGGAAGGTTCAGCGCCAGCTGAAGTTCCATCCACAGGCGAAGAAGCTCAGAAATCCCAAAGGGAAAGTAAAAGCAAATCTAAGAACGACGACGACGACCGATCGAATGACCCATCGATAGGAGTGGGGAGCATCGCAGCCGGCGGTCGATATGATGAGTTAGTTGGCATGTTCTCGAACAGGGCTCAGATACCCTGCGTGGGCATATCGTTTGGAGTCGATAGAATCTTCTCTATCACCAAAGCTCGTATGGAACGGGAGAATACCAACGTGAGTAAGCTCAGCGAAGTGGATGTCTATGTTATGGCGTTTGGCGGGAAGGGCTTCACTGGCCTGCTCAAAGAGAGAATGGATGTCGCAAGGAGACTATGGGATGCTGGCATCAAGGTAAATGCTATTTCCACTCCTATAATGTATACGCATACATATTGCACGGCGACTAATGCAGGTCCCCTCATATCAGGCCGAATTTTCGTATAAGCGCAAACCCAAGCCACAACAACAATTCGAAGCAGCTGAGGCCAACGCTGTGCCCTTCGCTGTTATAGTTGGCGAAGACGAGCTTGCAAATGGCCAGGTGCGTGTCAAAGAGATGGGGTTGGAGAAGGGGCATCCGGAGAAGGACGGCGTCTTGGTTGATCTGTCGACCTTAGCGGAGGAAGTAAAGGCTCTATTGGAGCGCAAGAGAGCTGTTGCAGCAGCAGTGGCAGCAGGAAAAATGTATAGCGTTGATGAGACGGTGGTTGCGAAGAAGTTAGAGAATTTAGATGTTAAAGGGCGATAGAAACGTATATTTTTCCCTTTTTACTATATCTATGAACAATTTTCGGATGGAAGGGAAAAAATACGCAAGCAAAAATATTTATCATTCTGCTCTAGATTGGCTTTTTGTCAATTTATATATTCCACTGTTCTGAGACAAACATTCTCCTCATGTATTGTTCTTTGTGTTGTTTTACAAGATCCGAATCCAGATCCCGAGACACCCACCCCTACGACCATACACCTTGTGGTGGATTACTAGAAAGAAACAAAGCAAGACAAATACTATACATACAAGGATTTGATCGTAACTATCAAAAAGGCATACCAACCCTTCAGTTGTTCTATAACTGGACTAATCATACAATAATCACCAGTGCCATTCGCCTGTGACCTAATCAGCCTTCAAGAAACGAAGAGGAGGGAGTATGAAGAGCGGCTGGACAGCTTTGACATCTTCGCTAAGTGCCAGCGGCCACCTTCATAATAAAACCCTTCAACATTGGCAATCGATCCACTATATTCAAACCCAAACTCCTACCCCACGCAATCGGGCCGTTACCGGGAACATTATACGCCTTATGCAGAAGATCGCACGCTCCCCCAATCTTAGAGTTGGTGAAGTATCGCTCCGCTGCGTACCGTTCCAGGCTAAGCAGATCGCCGATGTCCATCCCATGGCGCACTGCATACTCAATGGTGCGAAAAAGGGAGGCAACATCCCCAATGCCGAGATTTAGGCCCTGACCGGCCAGTGGATGGATAAGATGTGCCGCATCCCCGACTAGGGCGACGCGGGGAGAGATGTATGTTGATGCGTGGCGATGACGGAGTGGGAAGGAAGCTACTGTCCCCGGTTGGACAGAGGTGACGGTAGGGGGGACATAAGATGGGACCTGGGTATGTTGGAGACGCCAGGCTAGTTCTTCACCATGTTCGGTTGACGGGGTTGTTGTTGTGGAGTCTGCAGATGGCTCTGAAGGAGACGAGGGGAGAGTGAACATGTACTTCAAATCTGTCATGGATAAGCGGAAAGCCGCGTTCACCATGGCTGCGAGAGCGTCTGTCGAGAGGGATTTTAAATACCCTGCGTTTCTCACAGTTGTGGACCAGACTAGGGTAGCGTGGTTGGCAGGGAGTGGGAGGAAGGCAACTGGGCCCCCAACGCCGGGAAGGAAGCGCTGGTACGCAGTCCTAATATTTGAACCTGCTGCTATTTGATCGTGCGGAGAAAAGTTTAGGGTGGCTACGACACCATGTCGGTCGTAATCCCAGCCACTTGTCGATATACTCGCGTATGATCGGACAGGGCTATTTATTCCGTCGGCACCTACAAGCAGACGGGCAGCAATGGTGGGTAGCTTGGGCAGGTTGGACGAGGTTGAAGAATGCTTGAGTGTTAAAATGGGCCAGGACGACAAATCCAGACCATCAGCATAATCTTCCCCATTGCCTATTGAGGAGACTGTGGTACCCGAAAAAACGGACACATCATTTCCCGACGATTCTATGCTTCTTATTAGGCCACGGGTCAGGTTCAGATTCTCCGTCATCGTCGCGATAGCTTGCGATTGGGTTGAATGAGGTTCGAGAGACCAGTCAAAGGATATATCCGCGCCAGTTTCTCCATCCCACACCCGCATCTCTTGGTATGGCTGCACTCGCGCACCGTCTACATGTTCCCATGCCCCGATATCCCTGAGAAAGGACACGGATGAGGGGGTGAGACTGCTTACGCGGTTTGAGAATTGAGTGGGATCCGGCTTCCATGACCTTATCTTGGAGAGATCTTGGCTTTCGATCAGTGCTATCCGAAGCTTTGAGGATACCGGCGAGGATCCTGAAATCGCCAATTCTTGTTAGAATGATGAGCGAGACGCATTTATAGGGCTACCCGTACGTAAAGCAGCCAAGAGACTTAAACCCGCAGGCCCTCCGCCAACACAGACTATGTCATAGATATCGGGGCGTTGGGTTAATTTGGAGGTCGAAGTAAACGTCCTCCTCGCCGCCTGAGGGCCACGTCTGCACGACGGGAAGACGTACAATCGCAGCGCGGGATGAGATAGAGGCCGCATGGCTGGAACCACAGCTTCGTCGGCCACCAGTTTGTGGGATATCGCATGCTGCTGATATTCAGACCAATCTCAAGGTTGTTCGTCCCGAAGCTCCTGAATCTGCAAACAAGACAAACAACGGCATGGCACAATATATACACATGTACATGTGCATAAAAATATACCTCACGTGATATCGGTTGCCCTAACTATCTGCTTCCAAACAACGAAGTTTGTTTTTTTAATCCATCCGCTGGATAAATATAACTAACCACAAGAGGAGGAGTTTCTTGCATTAGCTCTCTAGTTAATTCAAAAAAGCCAGACTGCCGGAAAAGAGGTTAGCATTGTTTATTCGAATAAGGGCTTCATTCAGGGTCATTCCAAATTCAGGCTGTTTACGGGGACGCGACTTGTTTCAAGCAGAACATGTTTTGCATACATCCAAGGGTTGTTGATTGTTAATAATGTATGTGTGGTTCTGCTGCATAACCACGGCATGAACAGATCCCCTAATTTTGATTTATGAATCTTATGATACGCAAGTCTTGCCAGGTGAAATCCCATCCAGATCCCATCCATTTTCACGTGGCTCACGTCATTTCCTCCAGTTGCTTTTTTTGGGAGATATTTTTAGAAGAGTCAATTTTTGGGTCGCCGCAGATCGAAATGAGAAGGGTCACTATTCGCGGGAGCTGAGGAATTAATGGCGCACCCGCAGATGATTTTTGGAGAAGGTACAACAAACAACGAAAAATTCTAACCTGACATGCCTTCCCACGGGTTTCATTTGCAATCAAAAATGGCTGCGTGGGGTCGCCCAGTTGGCGCTCCGGCCTCAGAATTCCTCGCGAGGTTGAAAGATGGTCGCAGATCTGGATATCAAAACACGGAGATGCCGAGCCAACGGTGATTCGCTCGCGACCAGCTTCCGTTCTGAGAATCTGTCGTCTGGCATGTGACGTCGGACGACCATCTAACACGGATAGCGTCCGATAAGCGTTCCTATGCCGCCTCCGCTCGCCCCGGTGCTTGTCCATGGAAATTATGTATCTGTGAACGGTAGGGTTGGTTCGTGTTGACTCGGTGGCGAAGTGTCCAAGCCCTGATGTGTCCAAAGGGAAACTAGTTTCTTTTCAAGAATAAACGAGCCGTTGTCTTAGCCTAAACTTGCTTCTGGTTTCGGCTTCTGAATGGTTATAGTGCGGATGGGGTCTTTCGTTGTCAGGTTTTACCGCTTGACAAGGTTTACTAGCTCCGGTTGTTTCGCAGCAGCGATGTGGGTACACCCATTGACTTTCCGGGTTTTCAAGATAGCAAAATAGTACCCGAGAGGGTTTGGGAAAAGGTTGAACGTTAACATTATTTTATTTTTAAGTCTCCTGCCATTTGCGGGTCCGTTAATCCGTATACTCGGATTCTGGGCTTCAAAACAACCTGCTTTATATCCCCCGAATACCTCTCGTCTCTTCTCTATTTTCTCTTCTCTCTTCCCTCTTCCCTTTTTCCTTTTCCTCTCTTCTTCCTCTCTTCCTGGTCACCTTATACGATTGCCATCCGGGATCTATACAAAGATGGCAACCCAAACGCAGACCAGTTCCGGCACGGAATCAAACTCATCTCTGCTTTCTTCATCTACTTCTCCGAAAATGGAAGACACCGAATACATCTCCTTCAGCCCCAACTTTGCCTACTACGAGCCTCGATCGGCAAGTGCCAAATGCCATGAATGGAAGCGGGTCCCCATGCAATACGACCATGAAATTTACCTCCAACTCACAGCAGGCGAGGACGGTACTATTGAGAAAACAGCAAACCAGGTCTATCTCGAGGTAAATGAATTAATTAACAACCCCCCCCCCCCCCCCCCCCCCCCCCCTCTCCTCTCTCACCGTATCCAACCTCCCGCCATCCCGCGTCGCCAGTTCATATCCTCTCTTTTCTTTTCCATGTGTGAAGCCTAGAAACTTACAAAACCCATTTAACTGTGCAGGAACGAGAAAGACTCCTACAATCCAGGTCCCAAGACCCAGCCGTCTACGATCCTCAACAAGATGCCCCAAGTCCAATAGATTTTGAATGCGCTGAAAGGCAGAGGATAAAGGCTATTGAGTATCGGCGTGGGATGCAGAAGCCCGTATTGAGAATACGTACATCACCAACAATGGAAAGCAGGTCAAGATCCATGTCGGAAACGTCTGAAACGTCGATGGGGGTGAGGATGAAAGCGACGATGTCAGCGGAGGAAGACTGGGTGAGTGGGATTTGAAAGGAGAAGCGAAAGGGGTTTGTTTCGATTCTATGCATTATACCGCATGTTGAACGTTACATGGGGAAGCGCTTCGTTTTTGGGGATCTTTTTCAAATAAAAAAATTTAAGCGTAGGTGTTGGTCTGTTTGGTATTTTGATGGGTTGTGATTTCTGCATACATCTATTTTTATAACACCCAAGATCTTTCATCTTCATATCTTTTTGAATTGTGTTACCTATTGAGATAGGGTACATACAGCAAATGGATATTTATATCGTTGGTATTAACAGAGCTCAGAAGAAAATAAGGAGGAATATTTGTTGATTCACACTGTAGTACAGAAAATTATGAAGCTAGTCCTACTCAACAACATTGGATGTGTAAGTCACAATCTCCCATCTCTTGAAGGATATGTGTAATAAAGTTACCCCATCGTCTTCCCTAACGTCAAAAAGAAAAGAAAAATAATGCTGTCGATTATGCAACCATCCCATTTTCAATAAAACCACACATAACATAGCAGGAAGACACGAAAAGGCAGTGAGTCACAATACTCCTTCCCATCCCATCCAACACAATAAAAATATAGAAATATCATGAATGCCCCAGCCCAACAAGCGCATCTTCTAGCCCACCTTTATTATTTTTGTGCCGCCCCTGACCCTGATCGGCATCCAATTCCCCCTCCGCCTCCATCTCAACAATAAACCTCTCCCACGTCGCCAACACCCCCTGATAAAACTCTACATGCTTCTCAGCCAGCGCCCCCAATGTATCACGGAACTCCATCGCCTTGATGCGTTCAAAATCCGCAACTTCCCTGACGACTTCCTCATCGAACATTTCAGACGTGGTTTTGGAGCTCTCGACTTCCCGGGTCAGTTCGTCAATGCGCAATTCTAGCTTGCGGATGCGCTCGCGGCGTGATTGCTCGTGGTCGACGCCGCGCATGTCTTCCATTTTGGAGCGGATGAAGGAGGCTGGGTTGCTGGTGAGTGGGTTGGGGGAGTAGTATGAAGCTGGGTTGTTGGTCAGGGAGTCGCGATCGAAGACGGCTTTGTTACGGTAGTCGACCAGGGCTTCGAAGTCTAGTTGTTTCTGTTCGCGGGTTTTCAGTAGCGATTTGAGGGAGAGAATGTATGCTTCCATATCCCGTAGGCTGGTTAGGTAGTTTTGGTCTGTGTGGTCTTTGAGGGTTTTTATGCCGCGGGCGGTCTCTTCTACCGAGGCGGCAAAATATTTTGCAGCGGCACCTCAACGTCTGGCTCGAGCAGGACAAGCTTGCGAAATTGCGTGGCCAGGTCGTTGTAATCTGTTTCGAGATCTGCCTCCCGCCTTACAACCCTTGCAACAATCTTCTCGACATGATTTAGGTCCTCATCAAGTTTATCCGCTTTCTCTCGCACCTCGATGAACCGTTTGTCTGGTTTATGCACTTTGGTGAAAGCGTTTACGAAAGTATCTGCGAAGTTATCAAAAATCCCTGTTGGACCCCCGCCGCCGTCGGAGGCACTGGTGGAGGTACGTGATGGGCGAAGTCGCATATGCGCGTTCCAATCTGCAGATTCGAGGAATACGACTAGGATAGGGGCACGGCGGAGAACGGGGTGGAGGGAGAGCCGCTTAAGGAAGCGGTGAAGGGACCAGGCTCGACGATTAGTGAAATCGGTTCCAAATCGATCCCCACGCACATATTCCATCTTGTGCTTGTCCGGTAGAGGTGGGACAGCGCAGGCTGGATATTCACGGAATAGGATGTTGTACAGGAAATTGAAATCCGAATAACGGCGACGGACGGTGAAATTTGGTTTCTGGAAGGATTTGAAGTCGGTCTGGAAGGCGTATCGCAAACGAGATAATGTTAGCTATACCACCATACTAGCTACTAGACATGGGCGTAGGGCATGGAGGTTGACCAACATGGGTGGTAATGAGATAAGAAATATAGGCATCTTTCGTGCCACTGTTCTCCTTCAAGGGCGAATCTACTGTGCATTCCAGCATTCCGTCTCCAATTCCAGCAAGATCACCGGCGGGTTGTGGAGAAAGTTGCGGCGCCTCCTCCCCAGCGGAGCTCATCCGTCTCTTCCCATTGATATCATAACCTGATCTGCTGGAGCCTTCAGCATCGGTCCCAGAGGTGGTTGGTCTCGAAAGATCGCTGTCAGGCCCATTCCTCCAAGAGACACTATCGAAGTCACTATGGTCCATTGCGTCGTGATATCATCCGCGGCGATGAGATGCAGTGGAGATATCAACCTAGGCTCAGGTAGTGCAGGTTGGGGAATGGATAATCCGGGGCTGTGGAATTTTGTGGAGGTAGAGTAAATTGGGTCGCGGAGAGAGCTATAGCATGCATACAGCGACAGCAGTGTCTATCAAGTGAATACGCATCTGTATGTTTGCCTGTTGTGTGTTGAAGCAGAGGCGATGTTCAGGCAACTCCTTTCAAAGAAGTTTGTTGTTAGGGTCGAGGTTGTTTTGGGACGCTCTCAGCCTTCACGTGGGTGGAAGGCTTGGCTGGGTCACGCCCAAGTCACTTCCCCGCTGCTTTTGTATGGCGAGGTACATAGTTATCGTGTTTGCTACCCAAAACACCTCACCGGGAATTTTGACGGCGTTTGACTTGTGAATATGAACAATGAGAGCAGGATGAGAAGGATGAGAAGAGAGATTCCCTCAAAAACATTTTTTTGGCTAATGGGAATTAATATGTTCAGGGGCGATGTTTTCGGCATCAAACTGCATAGACACACCAGATAAGCACTGCTTTCATCCAAAAATAACGTTTTTTTTCTTCTCTCTTTTGGCCTCAGGTTAAGTTATTTATTATTAGATACTCTCGATTGCTCTCGATTTACCCAAATCCTTCCCCCCAAACCCATCCACTCCATTCCGCCGACACTTCCTAGTGGGAAAAACACGGAAATATAGTGAGTAAGGACATGTTAAAACATGCCGACAAATGATACAGATGGGAAGTCATTTCCCCTCATTTCCCCCTCCACCCCCTCCACCCCCTCCACCCCCTCCCCCCCGCGCGCGCGGCCCCCCCCCACCAACCACCAAGCACCAACCACCGGCGGGACCTTTTCCCCTCCAAAACTCAAACAAGGCTCATAACCGCTCCCTTGCAAGGCGTAATCTTCAAACCCATTGCATCCCTCCCCTGCCTTGTCCGTAGCAGCGCTAGCGTCGCTTGCAAGTTGTATTGATCGAGCGGCGACGATGCAGGGAACACGCCCCCGGGCACCGTTTGATCCCACATAATTTCTAGTCCGTCAAAGGTAAAGTCTTCCGTCAGTTGAGGCATTCGAATTTCGATCTCGCCCTGGATTAGGCGGAGGAGGCCGTCGTGTGTTGTGCCCATGTCGATGATAATTGGGGTGGACAGGTAGGAGAGACGGAGCATTAACGGAATTGAGCCTGCGGCTACGGCCGCCATTGTAAACGAGCTGATGAATTGGTAGTTTGATTGCTGGTTATGGGCTTGATGGGGGTTGGATCTGCGGCTGAGGAGATCGAGGGAAATGCGGTGGATCAGGGCACGGTGGGGGGATATTTATACGAGCCGTTGATCCCTGATGACATCTCCCTGTGTCGGAAGGCTAAGGATTAAAGGCTCTCCTGATTATGAGGGGATGCACAGGATAAATGTATTGCGGGCTAGCTAGGTGAATACGTATCATGGCGATCGCTACCAAGCCTCTCACAGCGTCTAAAGATGGCTCGGTCGGTTTTGTTTTAGTATACGCCCGTTATTGGCTGCAGTTCCTGCATTTCCCTCATTTTGGGCAGCATCCCACACGCCTTCATCCCAAGCGAGATGGCTTGACCAGAAAACAAACCACACATTGCTTTCTAATAACTAGAGCTTTCTAATAAACCAACCAGAGTAACCATTAGAGAGAAAAAGAGAAAGAAAAAAAAAAAAAAAACCAAAACAAACCAGCTAGTCCCCCAAAGTGAAAACCGTCCATACATGCCATCTTACCGTCCCTTACGTGAAGCCCGCTTCCCCACTGTCCTTCCTGCTCTCCAATCCCCTCTCCCACACTCGGGCGAAAACCCCTCTCTGCCACCTCTCCCCCCCACCCGATCCCCTCCAATCTCAGACCACCCCGTCTTCTTCTTCAGAAGGATATGCTTCTTCGGCAACCCGTCCAAACCCCCCCCCCCCCCCCCCCCCCCCCCCTTTTTTTGGAATTTTTTTGCCCCCCCCCCCCCCCCTTTCCCCCTTAAAAGTTCCCCATAAAAAAACCCCCCCCGCCCCCCCAAAAATCCCCGGCGGGTGGGAAAATTTCAGAGAACCCCCCGGACCAAAAGGAAGAGAAAACCCCGTATTGGGTATTTTTCGGGGGCCTTTTTAAGAAGTTTTCCCCTGGTTAGGCCGGCGCCAAAAAGGTGGGGGGGGTTATTTTTTTTGTCCTCTTTGGGAAAATCGACCACGGTTGAAAGGGGGCGGGGGAAAATATTTTGTGACATGACGAAGCGACGCCCGTAACCAGCAAGGGAGGATGGTGGGCAGGCAAAGAGTTTTTATGGAACAGGCCCCCTCCCCTTTTCTGAGGGAGAGCGGGGGCGAGAGCTACGATACAATAAGGCGCAGGGTTTTTATTAGGCCGGAGCTGAGGTTCATCTGAATAAGGAGAGTGAGGCGAGCG